ACCTACATACATACATACATCCATACATGCATGCATGCATGCATGCATGCATGCATGCATGCATGCATGCATGCATGCATGCATGCATACATGAACATATACATAGTTATTAACTTAGAGAAACAAATTCATACTTATAGGTATAAGCTTAGATAATGATATCACTTTCGTACATATAGACACACATAACGTACTTAATACATATAACACAAGATGATCGTGTTTGGCAAACCCCCTCGGCACAGCGGCGCTGTGAATCGATTCGATGCTTGCTTATTCGCAGCATACCACAGCGTTGCATGCATCTGCAGCATGTACATAGCTGGAAGGCACCTGCAGAAACAAAAGTGGTTCTCCATGGAAGGAGAAATTAGAGCTGTCTTCAAAGGTCTTTGATGGGTTCCTTCCCTGGCAAACAATTCGAGTGGCTGTAATGGCTGCAATACGCACAGCGAAGGCACAGTGCGCCAGCACGTCCCGTGCTTTCATCCAGTGCAAGGAACACAGCTGGCTCGAAATCCAAGTTGCATCCTGAACAAGTGCTCCGAGTTGCTTGCAGAAACAGAAACACAAATTTGGTCATGCAGCAGTGGCGGATTCCTTGTCAGTGACGGATTCCTTGAGTTCGTCCAGAGCGACTTTTATACACTCTATGTCCTGTAGACCAGTTTGCAGGTTCTCCCGGACAGCACGACGAATCATGCGTTCCATCTTTTGCATTTGCATCTTCAAGTCCGTTCGGATACTTCGAAAGCCTTCCGGTGGAATGTCGTTCCGGGTGAGCACCCAAATCATGCAGCGGTCCGCTTGCTCACCACGCACCCCATAGCGGCCAGACGAAGCTTTTGCTTGACCCTCGCCGACTTTACGAAATTTCTTGCTGCACACACACAGCAAGAGGCACATCAGCATGCTTGCAATGAACGCTGCTGCTATGGCTGGAAAATTGAAAATCCAAGACACGCACATCCAACACACCCAACAACCTACCGCAATGGGGGTAGGGGGACGGCTGCAGCTCCAGCACGTCCCAGTCTGTTTTGAAGGTTTCTTCTTCTGGTCTGACTGCTCGCACACCTTGCAGGCAAGGCGGGCACTCTGCACGTGATGCGACCACCGACCAAACTTTTTTGTACATAACGCACGAAACTTACTCAGTCGTCCATGCAGTGTGGCGTGTGTCTGTGTGTGTGTGCATATCTTAGGTGCGATCTCCGCCTGCAAAATTCACAAACCTCCCTCCCCGCCTGCGTCCAGAATTTCCAAGGTCGGCGACCCAATTCCCACATCATCCTGGCTCGAGCGTGTTGGAAAAGCTGAGGGCTTTGATCTTGGTACAACTCAAAGTTTTGACCGAGCACGCCGATCGACAAGTTCATCAACAGGATCGTAATTCCGATGCGGGTAGCATGGAACAAACCATGTATCCACATGTAGTCAAAGTCGAAGGCAGGCTCGTCTTCCGCGAATCCGTCTGAGATGTCGCCCTCGGAAATATTGAAGTCTTCCCCGTAAGTTGTCTCAAATTCATTGAGGTTTGACTCATCGAACACGCTGAGGCGGACCACTCGCAAGAATGCGACATAGACAGCATGAAGTGGAGAGGGCGACTGGCGAATCTGAAGGCAATAGTAGGCATGCGTCGCTGCAAACGTGCATATTGCTGTCACCAGAATTATCGCTTTAGTGTCCTGTATTGCAGACAATATGGGAAGGAGTCTCGGACCAAGCCACGACTCACCACGCAAGGTGTACAAGGCTCTAATCCATGCCAGTGCACAGAAGCAGGGCATGAATGGCTTTTCCAACTCATCCTGCAGCATTTGCCGCACACCTGCGATCCATCCGACGAGCAGTAAACAAGATCGGCGATGTTGTCGAAGTCGAGGCAGCGAGCACGATGGACTTTGCCACACGTCGTGCAATGCACGTATTGCCATACTTCTTCGACAGTCCTCTTGATATGCAAGGCAAAGATACCCCATAAAGCTCCAGCGGATGCAGACTGACCGATCTTGGAAGTGTAGGAAGCAACGCAAAGCAGGATCACCGTCAGAATGCTGAAAGTCGCTTCCAGCACGGTCTGAAGCCGGTACTGCTGCCAAGCTGCCGACACCACAGCTTCGACTGCATCTGTCTGGAAGACTGCCTTATTGGGTGCCTCAGCAAGACTCTTCAGGAGCTCTAAATGGCAGGCGTCTGCGGCAGACATGCCTTCCAAAACTCGCAGCTGGACAACAACTGGAGGCGCAGTGAACATGCTTCTGGAGGAGGGATCAATGTCCATCTTCTTGACAACGAGCTGGTTGGGCTTGTCGCTCTTTCGACTTGCGCCTTTGTCTGTGCAAAATGACGCCTCCGAATCGCGAGAACAGATAGATCTGACAGAATGCCGGGCAGACCCACGTGCTGCACATTTGCTTCTGCCATCTTCGCCTGAACGAAAGAAAGGATTGATTTCCTCAACCAGCTTTGCTCAGCCGGCTCCGACCCCGTTTCGTCGCTATCCTCTCGCCCGATCGCCAGCCCCGAACCCGGCCCCCAACACATAACAGAAGCGAGGACGAAGCAGGCAAAGTGTCCCGATGCTGCTTGATCATAACAGCATGGAGATCCCCTGCAAACGGTGCGTGTGTCTCTCAGCAAAAGATTTCTCGGAGGAGCTCTAAGTAAAATCAAAACTGAACCCAGAAGCCATGTCTGGATGAGTATGCAGAGCACACACACACACACACATTCTGTAAGCGAACGGCAGGCGGAGCCGTGGGCGAAAACGGGCGAAGGTGTCTCACAAGCTGGCTGATATTTAAGCGCCTCCGTTTCCTGCATACGTGCTAATTCTAATTAATCCTGGTGGAGGAAAAAATGGGTAGGGCCGCTCGGTGTCAGCACGTGTCGACCGAACATTGACACGATCAAACTTCCCATTCCGATGCTTGATGCTGTGCATATGAGCTGATGCGCTTCGCAGGCGAGGAATGATTTCACCTCCCAGCTTCGGTACCCCTCTCCAATTCAACATTTTCTCAAGGCCAGGACCCAGGTAGGACCCTGTCACGCAGCCGGGCCTCGTTCCAGATCCTGATCCACAGGCCCACCAAAGCCACCGGAGGGAGAAGCTCCAGTCAGGCCCATCTTTTGCAATGGCTTCGCACAAAGGTGGACCTACGGGCAAGGGCTGCGTAGAGTCAACGAACAGAACTGTTTGGGTCATCGGAGAGCTTGAGCGTTTCGTTACCGGGAAGTTGGGAGGTTCAAGGTTGTGGGGTCCTCAGCAAGAGCAACCACCGCCACCGCCGCCACCACCAGCAGCAGCAACAGCAGCACGACCAATATCAACAACAAACATCTACTAGTACAAAAAATCATCGTCGACGAAATCATCATAAATCGTCATCATCACCATCATTATCATGATCATCAAAATCATCGTCATCACCACCACCAACCAAAAAACAACCAGCAACCACCACCCAACAACAACAAACAACAAGCTGCAATCAACAACCAAACCAAACTAAACCACCAACACCACCAACAACAATTCTCAATTGAACGCTGCGCGAGCGTGCTCTGTGCGTGGCGCGAGATTACCGCTTTGGCACTCACTACTGGGTCAAAACCGACTTCGGCTCTACTCTGAATGGCAATTGTCTGAAGAACACAGAAAACCGGCAAGACCAACACAACCTAAACAAACCAGATCTAACAACCAGGCCGTAGACCGGAACCATTCTGAACTGAGCCTGAGCCTAAATCCTGTGTGG